CCCCTCCCCCATGTTTGTCATAATAAAATTCATAACAAATATAACTTCCCCAAGAAAGTTAATTCTCTGAAGAAGATGATGTCCCTTTCTCTTCTGCATATGATAATATTTATGTAATGATTGCTGTATATGTATTTACAAGAAAATATTTGAATAAAATATTTCTATTATGGAATATTGTTAAATAAAGATACAACAAATATGCTGCTGGAGAAAAAAACCAATGCAGCTTTCTTCTGCTGTTGCAGGACTTTGGTTCACTATGTTAGCCTTTACATCATGAACTTTATTGTATCACAAGTAAAATTACTGCAGACCATAGAAGCATTGACCCTGGAAGATGAACTTATTCCTCTGGAGTATGATGGGATGGGGCTCAATGTAATAATGAATCATTTCTAGAGGCACAGATTGAGGATATAATCATGTAACATATTTTAAAATGAGTATATATTTATACATTTTAAAGCATGTATTTATTTATGTCTCTTTTTTAAAAGGGCCACATAATATATAACTTATTTGAATAGCATCTGATTTGTGCTTTTGCCAGTGAAATAAATTATATGACTTTTTTCAAGCTGTACAGAATCCACCAGACCTGCAGGTACAGATCCAGCGCAAACACCACAGACTGGATTAGCCAAATCCAAAATCATTTCAATCAGTTTCGGTTTTCTCTGACATCCATAATTGAAGGTTATCAAAAATATACGAGGCTCATTGGTTTACCACAAAGTACTACCACAGCTAACATTCCTTTCCAATATGTCTGAAAACAAACAAAGTCATGACCATATGAACTGGTAAGTGGTTCTTCAAGTCATCATCTGTGACCACATTTGGTTATGCACCTGCATATGACACTGATTCAAAACATTCTACAAGCTCTGGGCTTGGCTCCTGCCTGAGTTCCAAGTCTGCTGCTGCAGAGGAATAAAGAAGCTGAGGCATTGAAGGTAGGAGATTTTGCGTGTTAACAGAAAAACAAACCATAGTTACAGTTAAGAAACCTATTCTCCTTTTTCATGGTCTCTGTGACTTAAACAAAGAGGTGTCTGAAAAGGAGGAGTTTTACCAGTTGAGGAAGATGTCATGCCAGAAATGAAGACAGGCCTGCTCTGCCAAAAGCCACATGAGCACAAGTTCTGATATTAAGCAGTATTTTTAATGAAGATTGGGAGGCTGAGTCCAAATTGCTACATTACACAGTTATGGGAATGAGGGGGCTGCATTAATTGTGCCAGTTGGTAAGAAATCTGGCTTAAACTTGGTACTTGGCAAAGTATTGAGATTTTGGCAAATGATCTCTCTTGAGTCCCATGTGGCAGACAAATAAGCAAGAAGATTCTGATGTACAAATGTAGAATGAAAGTGCCCTTCAAACATGTAGAGAATGAAGCTCGTTCTCCACTGAGGAGGAATGCTGAGAAAGGAAAGTTCGTAGCATGCTGTCCCGAGTTAGATAGAACTTTGGTGGGGAGCAGGGAAAACAGTCAAGGCATAAGATTATCTTGTCCCTAAGAAAAGTTAGGAATTCTTGGTCATGCCTTAAGGCATATAGTTTGCTCACTCTACATGCCACAGTAATGTAACAAAAAGCCACTTTCTTCATGAAGAGCTGAAGGTCAACTGTGGTCGTAGGTCAAAGGTTTTCACCATTAACTGAGTTAATGCAATTGACAGACTTCAGGCCAGGATCAGTAGGGAGACCAGTGGGTATAAATTAGCAAATCCCCTAAAGAACAGTTTAATGTGAAGATGTGAGAAGAGAGAAAAAGGTTCAATATTGTTATGATTAGTCAATATGGCTCAGTAAACTTTGAAAGGAAAATAGCTAAACCTTGAGATTTTGTTAAAAGGTATGTTCAATATGTTCAGTAGGCTACAGGACTTTATGTCCTGCTCTGTTGTATCAAGAACATTCAGAAAGCACACATTTTCAGTATACATTTCACTTGGCAGGATAGAAAGCCCTGGTAGAAAGTTTCTGTAAGGAAGTAGTCATTATTTCCAGGACCTACTTGGAGAATCAGTGAGGTCATCTATTATCCATGAACTAACAGGGTCTCCAGCTCCAGATAGGCTGGCTTTGTGAAACAAAAGGGAAGTATTACAGAAGTCATAAACAAAAGGCACAAGTGAAGGTAGAATAGTTGCTATCAAAGAATACAGCCTAATGTTAAAAAGTTCGTTCTGAATTTAATCCCTCTATCCCTGTTTCAACAACAAAAAACGTTAGCTCCAATCTCATGGTGATTCCTGCTGCTTGCGGGACCGACAGTGGGAATATTGGAAACTAATTACACTAAAACTCTGGATTGCAAGCATAATTCGTTCCGGAAGCATGTGTGTAATCCAAATCACTTGTATATCAAAGCAAGTTTCCCCATAAGGTTCAATGTAAATAAGGTTAATCCATTCTGTAACTTTTTTTTAATCACAAAAATTTGAAGCGGGCACGTTCGGGGGGGGGGGGAGATGGGCGCGATTGCGGGTGCATCCAAGGAGGGAGGTGGGCAAACTCAGGAGGGGAAGCGGGCATGATTGCGGGCGCACTGGGGGGGGAGACAATGCTCCCCCCCAAGAGAGAGAAGAACCAGTGCTCAGTTGTGATGTGACGCTTAGCAGGCAACTTGTGCATAATATTCATATGGCAAGACATTGCTCATTTATTAAGTTAAAATTCAGAAAAACTTTTTGCTCATCTAGCAAAACACTCACAGACAAAGGCTTTACTGTAATTGATCTGCTCCTTTGTTCTGATGTCCAACTACTGGACTGATCATGTTTTATCTGTCCCCATCTAACTGGTCTTATTCAATGGAGTTTTTTGCTGAATTGAATATGGTCTGGTTCTCACCAGCCTCTTGGCTTATTGCTGGGCCTGCTGGCCTTGGCATTTCAGCTAAGAAGTCCAATCCTGTCTTTTCTTCTAGTTCTGATTCAGATTATGAGGTAACAGCCTTGGAATTATGTACTTTGGAGAAGTTGGCTTCATCCCTACAGAAACCATGACTGGAGTGGTCTCATACAGAGTGGGGCTAACAGAGTAGAGGACATTAGTCTAATGATGTATTGGTTGTTGTTTGCTTGGAATTGGCAGGTGTCTTCTAGTTCTAGTTCCAATGTGAGGCATTATAAGGTGTCTGCTCTGTCCTGTGATAAGTCTCAGTTGGAGTTCAGAAGTGCTCCTATGAATTGCTAGATCAGAGATCGGATGGGACAAGATTCTTCTTTGCTGACCTATAGGTTGAGGGATTGCTGATGAGAAAGGACAATGTTGATATTGATGGTTCATTGGTGGTGAGAGGGGGCTACAAAAAGCCAATTGTCTATAAATGGAAAAATACATCCCTTGAAATGTCAGATGAGTTGCCACTAATGCCATACATAATGCCAATGTGTCAGTATAGATGTGGAGGTGACAGATTAGTATCCTATTTCCACCTTCCAGAGTGATGTTTTCATTTGGTAGACAAAGATGATCGTTTCATGTATGTACTGCAAAAGCCTTCCTGTTAAACTTTTGATCTAGCATCCTCATGAACTCTTTCAATATGGAGTCAAGTGTGACATCTCAAAGATATAGCACCTGCCATGGTCTTTGAACTGCCATCAGCCATGAGCTGGGTTCACCTGATGGCCTTCTAGCTTGTTGGCTTGCCATGCACGCTTCATAGTTCTCCATGCAGAGTGACAGGGATGCAGTGGTACAGATTCTGTGTCCCAATGAGTTTACTTTTCTTTGTTTTATCTTTGATTGGAATACTTGGCACTATTATGGAGTACTTAGAGATGTGGATGAAAGAATAGAGGAGTTTACCCAGAATTGTGTGATTTTGCGCAGAAATTTTGGAAGCATCAGGATGGTAATTGGTAGATCTAAATCTGGTTGTATCTTTTAAAATGTGACCAGGCCTGGGGGGAATTTAATCTATAGTCGAACCAATTTTGCCATTCCAGTGGTTTGTTCCATGTATGTCCTAATGTCATCCAATGGGGAGAGAAGATATTCACCTCCTATAGCAGTGTCCTTAGGAGGCTGGAGCCCAGACAGAAGTGGAAGGCAAACCTAAGCAATACCCTCCCTGCTCATCCTGTACCAGATAGGAGATGTTGGTCAATGTTTGTGTGCAAGGGACCAACGATGGCTGATAAGTTGTACTGCTAGCAGTGCTTTCATAGCGCACGGTGGCACTGGGATAACCTTCCCATAAAAAGGCACAGAGGTGTGCCATTCCATTTTTCCTGGCCCGTTTTATAGATGCCTGTCAGGAACAGGAGTCCACTCTGTGTGGCTCCAAGGCAGACAAGGTAGTTGGAATGCACAGTGGGTGCAATTTTTGAACAAGACTTGGGATACCAAGTGGCAGTGAGGAAAAGCAAGAAAAAAGTAAGAGAAATAACTTTTTTCAGTATCTCAGAAGAAGACAAGATTTTGTGCTAAGATTTTCAGATATTTTAGAGAAGTGAAAGAAAGTTTTACATATTGCCAGTTGCTGCAGCAGATTTTAAAAAACAAAGAGAGAGACAGACAGACAGAGAGAAGCAGGCAGTAGCCACACCCAGAGCAGAAAAGACAAAAAGTATACAGGGTTAGGGTTAGCTCTACAAGGTTCTGAATGATTCTTCTTCACAGGTGAATACACCTCATATGTGTGAGTCACAGAGACCAAAAGAAAAACAATGGTAATTTGAAGAAGTGCACTAATGTGTTTGTATTCATGTCCCCCTACTTAAAAGGTCCAAGGAAAACTACAATACTGTTTACTATTCATTACTAACAAGTCATCCCTATAATAACATTCAGTATTTTATACTTTTTGTAACATTACCTAAACTTACATTCTGATACAAACATGCTCCTCATACTTGCATCACTCCTTTTACAAAATATTCTTTTAATAGTACCTAATTGGATGCTATGACCAACTGATAATATTTCCACAGAACATATGAGTTATTTTTTAATAAAATAATCCTTTGCTTCATCCTACCTTCTGTCAGGAAGAAAGTAAATTTTAACATAGGGGTTTCTTGGCCTCCCATCTTCCCTTGAAGGAAGATCCTTTGCTCCCAATATTGTGACTATCAACTGATGACCAACTTTGTCATACCACAGTTTTATCTGCAATGAGAAAATATGCATTAGTCAGCCCAGATAACTACAAAGGTACAATAAATGTATCTTTTAGCCTACCACTGTATCTATTTTATTACTACAATGAAGATAATTTATCTCATTCTAATTAGTGACATCAGTGAACAAAATAATAGAATGTGCTGTTAAAAATGTCTTCCATATGCATTTGTTTAGCACTTTCATACAGAAAAAGTAGTAGGGTTTTTTTTTAAATTCTGATCTCTCCTCTCTCTCTCCATATGTTCATTGGGTCTACAGATATCCTACCACTGTAGTATGAATTCAGCAATTAGTGAATAATGAATAATGATTCATTCCTACTCTGATTAGTATATAATATAAAGAAAGGCTGTGAAATGAAGTTGTAGACCTACCCAGTTTAAAGTACTTTTATATCCAACTTATGTATGCTACATACAAATGTATAGTTACCATTTTACTGAGCCAACTCAGCAGATAATTAAAGCCATATGGCACCAACTTATAATTCTCCACTTTTAAACCACTTGTAATTCTCCACTTTTTTCTTTCAAGTGTTAGAAAATAATTTCTAACAATTTGTGAGAGACCCTACCAAATGTTTAGTTATCCTAATATAACCATTATTTCACCAAGCAATTCTGAAAATGAAACAGAATAAGAATATCTGAAACTTGGACTATCATATGATGGTATGGTCAACTATGACTATTACTACCAAATGCAGGATGGAAAGGGAATTGTAGACATTCTTTTTACAGAAAGAATTGCTGGTTTTGATGGAAGCAAGGATATTCTCCACAGAGTACTAAGCAGATGCTCATTACTCTTTGGAAAAAAGATAAGCTATGCCATGCCACACCCACCCAGTTTAACTGACTGTTTATTTTCACTGTTAACAGGTAAATGCTGCAACAATAATTCTAGGATCTCTCAAACCATTAGCAGGTGCAATCCAATAAACACCTATTTAATGAATATCTCACTGAGTTCAAAAGACTGCAGCCTAAAAGTGGAATCAAGACATGCCCTAGTAATTTCTTTGTATCTTTTGAAATTCAAATAGGATATTGCCCCTTTACAACATACTGCTTAGATATAGTCTGTTTTAAACAATATTGCCAAGAAATTGGCTAGAATACTGTACTTCAGAGTACATAAGGACAATTTTCAGGGGATACAGGATTTCAGTTAGGCAGGAATTATCAGGAGCTGAACTTTTTACAGATGCCTGAATACATTTTAAGATGCATGTTTGTATTTTTCCAAAACTGAACTTCTAGAATAAATTAACAAAAATTATGTTATGTTATATTATCAACACTGTGCTCTTATTTTCCATTTTAGTGGCATAACAAACTTACAACGTTGTGTTAACACTATGAAGGTGGATTCTGGCCAAAGAACTGAAGTCATTAGGCTTTGCATGTTGTCTTTTTGTATCCTATTTTGTTCTCTATGACCTAATTCATGCAGTTTTAATTCAAAGTAATGCATACTTATTTCTCTAAATTAACAAGAATTCCAGTCTTACAACTAAAAAAATTCCATTTTTGTATTTAAGCAGTAAAATAGCATAAAAATAATAAACCTACATGGGATTTATACAAAAGATGAACATTGCCACAATAATGTTTTATAACAAAAGCCAAGTAATGCTCTTTACAAAAATTAAAAATAAAATAGGAAAGCATGCAGCAAAACAAGATAAGCATTATGGCATTCTTACAACCTAGAGTTAGATTAATCTAGAGTACCTTAAGGGATACCTAATGAAAAAAGGCAAACAACTTGTACCCAAATAGCACTGTAGAATATACTTATCACTAGCAGTAATAAAAAATGATTTTGCATTCATTTTTTGTTTTCAGTATTTCAACAAACATGTCAAAATATAAACAAGTACAAATTCCTTAGACAAGGTACAAATTTATTTGCCCATCTTCTACTCAAGGAACTACTGTCATTTGGAAAATGCAAAAAGGAAGTATTAAATATGAAAATGAATGATTTAAAGAGACATCACCTTTGATATAATGAGGCTAAACAAGATCAACCTTTAGTTCGAGATACATGTTTATGCGAGAGAAACCATTAGTATTACTGTTAAAGATCTGTGTTTAATTAGATATACATTAAAAGCAAAACTAAAAACTAGTTGTCTCTTTAAATGTTAATTTAGTACTCTAATTCCCATGCAATACTTTTTCAAGCTGCTCACAAGACAATATGGAATTTCTTAATACTGTCTGAACCAACATAGTAAAATAAAAAATGGTAATGGAAAAATGGACCAAACTGTGATGGGTTCCTACTATGCATTTTCCAAGACAAACAAAAAGAGAAAAAAGCACAAGTTTAGTTTCTGTCAGGCAGATTAAGCCTTTACCTGAACCCTAGGAACAAAAGGCGTTGTTCTTCTACTAAGGCTTTGGCTCTGGTAAGCAAAATTAAAGAAAAAGCAATAAAACAAAACCAAAAAAGACAACACGCTCGAAACCAAAAGACCAAAAATAAAACAAGGACACACAACTTTAAATACTGCTGTACACCAAAAGATGTTTATTTAAAAGGAGCTACTGAAATGCAATGCATAAATTAAATTCGCAAATGCATTATTACACATCTAAAGATTCAGTATGTTCTTCTATCCTTTGCATTTTTATCTGAATAAGAAATAACCTGTTTCATACAGCAACAGCATTTGCTAACAATTGTCCCACCCTTTATCTCTGCCATTTAAGCTCCAGCTTCTTCCCAACTTTCTATAGAAGGACAGAAAGGACTTTCTGTGCATGGTTTAATAACAACAGACATTTAAGCTATAAAATACAATCCTATACACAATTTCCTGGATGTATGCCCTGTTGAAATGAACAGACATGCACAGGATTGTGCTGTAAATTTGCAATGTTATACCCAAGTTACCAGGAAGTAAGTCCCATTGAACAAAGTGGAACTTACTTCTAAACAAACATGCATAGGATTGCTCCTTAAAAGGTACACAATAATCAATATACTGAGATGTAAAGAGGGACTATAAAGCATTAACAGATGTAACACAATGTATTTAATAATCTGTTGTTGTATGAAATATATTTCATAATTCTCTTTATCATGAAAGTCAATCATAGCATTCCTACAGTTAAAGGAAGTATTTGTTGGGTACACTCAAACACTGAAGCATGTCTAAAATTTATACTTCCAGACACTCTTATTTAGAGACAAGGCCCAGTATACAGCTAGGGTTAGCCCTAGCAGGTATGAAAAAAAAGAATACCATTGAGCATGTTCAAAAAGCATTGTCTCCAGCACTCCCCAACCATAAATTGCTGAGATTAAAAACCAGAGTGTCCAGGCAAATTAAACCCCAGTAATCCTTAACTTAAAATTAACCAATAATAAAATGGAAAGTTTGAATACATATAAAATCATTTTCTGTAAAACTTGATAGGAAATTAAGGCTAGGAAGTGTGTGTATTATAATCAATAACATTACAACATAGACTTATACTTTTGCAAAATATACAGTATAAGAACGTATGTTTCTACATTTCCAAAAATCAACACTTTGGAAAATATTTTGACCAGAAATTTCTTTATCTATTTTTTCAAGATTGGCTATCAGCGAAAAAGGAGCCTAAAAGAAAGTTATCTGATAGAACAGTAACTGGTTAAAGAACAGAAAGCAGAATAGAAATAAAAGGTAAGTGTCTCAATAAAAGGCTGTACACAGAGAGCAAGTATAGCATAATCATTAGAGAACTGGGCTGGGATTCCAAAGATCTGAGATCTAGTACCCACGTGGCTTACTTTGGCCCACTCATGGACTCTCACCTACCTTCTTATTTGAGAGAATATGAAGTGAAGGATTATAGAAGCCATTTTGCATTCCATCTCACAATATAAATATAATAAAATAAAATAAGTGGGGTCCCTCAGGTATCTGTATTGAAACTTGTACATAAATGATCTGGAATTAGGAATAAGCCATGAGGTAGCCAAATTTGCTGATGATACCGAATTACATAGGATGATTAAAAGAAAAGGGGATTGCAAAGAGCTCCAAATGATCTCTACAAACTGGCAGAATGGGCATCAAAACAGCAAATGCAGTTCAATATAAGCAAGTTTAAAGAGATGAACACTGGGGCAGAAAATCCTAACTTCACATATATCCAAATAGGATCTGAGCTAATGGTAACTGACCAAGAAAGAAATCTTTGGGTTGTGGTGGACAGCTCAATGAAAATGTAAACCAGTGGTTGGCTTCATGTGACTTGACAAGTCATACTGGGATTTTTTTTACTATTGTTGGCCTGTCATGTTGCCCATAGTATATTTAAGGGGCCCCTCTGCAGCAGGAGATGTACGTGCCTGATCAGTAACCTCATCCTCTCTGCTGCACCTCAGGGCATAAGTCCTGTAGAGACTGCTATGGTAAGTCAAAATCAGTTCACAATCACAGCTGTCAAAGAGATGAGCCTCATTCCTCCCCGTGATATCTTCTAGGATACCAACTGGAGGACTGAGAGGGAAGGAGACAGTGGAAGGGAGTAGACTTGCTGCCATGAACCTGATCATCTGTCAGGCACATTAAGGTAAAAAACTGTGAACCATGGTAACCACGCAGGATTGCTTGCTGTGATGTGTGAACCCAGCCAGTGTGTAGATATAGTGAAAGGGACAGTAAAAAGTCAAGGTACATAATTAGAAAAGGAACTGAAAATAAAATTGCCTTTATCATAGTGCTGTTTTACAAATCTTTAGAATAACTGCTTAGAATGCCTGGGCTCTGATCATAGCACCTTGAAAAAAGGATCTTACAGAGTTGAAAAAAGTGAAGAAAATGGTAGCTAAAATGATAAAGGGACTAACTGTCCTAAGAAGAAACATTACATCTCCTTAGGGGGAAAAAGAGAGTAAGAGTAGACCTTAAAAAGATGTACAAAATTGTGCATGGTATAGGGAGAATTTTTTCTCCTTCTCATAACACTAGAAGCCAAGGTCACCTTCAGAAATGAGGGTGACTGGGGGAGACTGAAGACAGATGAAAGGCGATACTTCTTCACACAACACATAGTTAAACTACGGAATTCACTTTTGCAAAATGAAGTAATGGCCACCAGGTGGTTTTAAGAGGGAACTGGCCACATTCATGGAGGATGGGGACTATCAGTGGTTAGTTGCCTCGATGTACCCAAGTTACTGGGGAAGATGGGTGAGAGGTTGCTGTTGAATGTATGACTGGCTTTTGGGTTTCCCATAAGCAGCTAACTGGCCACTGCAAACAGAACTAGATGGACATTTGTCTGATCCAGAAGACTTTTTATGTCCTTATGATTGGCTCAATATCTAGTTAGAACCCCATCTGAATTATGCAAAAAAAGTCCAATGCAGCTGAATGAAGCCCATAGGAGGCCCAATGTTATATATCAACTGCTCCTATCCTAAGACATGCAAGTGATACAAATGTATTTTCTGCTTATTTCTTAGAGAGCAGCATATTTCTAGTATCTGATTCTATATATCACTTAAGAATCTTCTATCACTATGTATGTTACATTCCTTATTTATTTATTACTTTCTATTACTTCCTTGTGTTTATTGTTTATTAATTGCTTATTAATTAATCTGCAAAGCTGTAGACTACAATATTCTTTAAAGATAAAATGAGTGCCAACAGCAACCACTTCATAGCACATTTTAAGCCCTCACATGTTCAGGCAAATATCCGAACAGAGTTTTTGGAAATTATAACAGTATATCAGGAGGTAGACATCTAGATGCCAAGATGTGTCTTAGGCATCTGGAGCTCGAGCAATGTAAGCTTAAAGAACTGACACGTTACATTTATCCCAGAAGAATACAGGTAAGCAGTATAGATCTTAGACTACTGAAATGACATTTTACCAAAAATGCATTTCATTTAGAAGGAACGCATCACATACTACAGTCACCTCAGTTCTGAAGTTATCAAAGTCAATGTCAGTAGAGCACTGTTCAGTAATTTATGGAGTTATTACAAGTAGCTTCTTTACATTGTAGTATGGAGTGAAAAGCTTTACTCAGTTTACCTAAATACAATAACTGAATCTGGTCCACAAGCAGTCACTCTATTAACGTCAATATTCTGCCAGATTTTCCTAGAAGTTGAAAACAGTGCCTTGCAGACCCCCCTTGACTTTTCCATATTTTCTTGTGTTACAGTCTGGAGCTGACATGGATTTAATTGGCATTGCTATCACTTCACATATACAAGATGTGTATGTTGTACTGTGAAGGTGCAAAATATTTTTATTGTAGGCACAAAAGCTAAGTAAATAAAAACAGATTGGCATTTGCTTGTTGCAATTTCCCCTGAATCTATACTTAGTAGAACTACCTTTGGCAACTATCACCAAAGGAGCCCTTCTTCGGTACATCTCTATCAGCTTTGTGCATCTGAATCCAGCAGTAGTTGCCCATTTTTCCTGGAAAAACTGTTCCAGTTCTGTCAGCTTGGATGGAAACAGTTGGTGAGCAGCAACTTTAAAGTCTTACCATAGATTCTCAGTCAGATTGAGATATGAATTTTGACTGGGCCATTATAAGACATTCAGATTCCTGTTTTACAGTGTTACATTAGCTGTGCATTTATGGTAATTTTTCTGCTGTAAGGAACTGTAACTGCACATAGGTAAATTCCATTTAATTACTTACAAGTACACTGGATTCAGTAGGTTCCACTAGAGCTTATTTAGTCACATCACAGCTAAAAGGGCAAACAAATAGCTAACAAGTGCCAATTAGTATTTCTTTACCTAACTTTTGTGCAACTATAAAAATGTAAAGCATGGGGAGGGGGGTAGGAATGTAGGCCATGGCAAAACACTGAAATGAGTAAAGTAGAGACGCTTATCTCAAGGCCAGGCTGCCCAGGTGGACAGGCAATCTCTGGGAATAACAAAGTTGTACAGTTGGCAGAGGAGGACTTGGACAGGAGTGTTTCTCAGACTTGGGCAAAGTAAGGACAGCTCTTGACACCATGATGTGTCAAGAGCAAAGGAAGGCAACCCAATTAGAGGATTGGAACATGGAGAGGAAATGTGCTCAGTTTCAGAGGCTCCTCCCAAAGGCACCCAGGCATGCTCATAAAGAGCGTTCCAGGAAGCGAATACTAGAATGGGTTCAACAAAGTGCTCAAGGCATGCTCAAAGATTCATTCTGGGCGTTCTGTGCTTTTTGGTCAATAAAGAAAGCTTTGCAAAGAAAAAAGGACTGTGGCTTTTGAATGTGCAAAGGAGGAATCCTAGCTCACAACACTTGGCAATGTCATATGGAATTAGAGTTCTCCTGAAGTTTGAGTCAGATTGAATGGAGGTGAGATGTCTTTTCAGCTGTCAGGACTCTTTGAGAACAATCCAGCAAAGCCCAAACACCTATACTTACAGTTTTATTTTTTCATCCATGGTAAACTGTGTACTATCAAACATCCATCCTTACACTAAGTTTAAAGTGTCCCCCAGAAAACACAGTACCTCTGCTCCAAAAATAAATCCATCAGAACCCTGGGCCCAGCCCAGCCCCAAACTGCTTGCGCCCCTCAGCCACCACCCTTCGGCTGTCAGCCCAAGGCCAAAAGCCCAGGACATGACCAACAAGTTAAGTGCTCTGGCCCTACCCTCACAAGCAGCACCCCCCCCCGGCATAGTTCTCACCCATGCCCACAAGCCTTAATGAATAAGTAGAATAAATAAATGAATAAATTAAATAGTCACACTTACACATTTTCCTATGGTAAAGAAATGCAGGTGCATATCTCCCATCAGAGAAGCATTATTCAAGTTTTATAAGCAGCAGTCTCTTTTGTCTTAAGAATGGAAAGGATCAAAAGATCCAGCCCAGAGCCTCTTCCAGCTTGACTATTCCACCCTCTCCCACAGTAAGGTCATCTACTTCTAGTAGTCCGTCAGAAAGATCTCAGGAGAGCAAGGGAGGCAGGCAATGTCTGTCTCAGAGTCAGTCCAACTAAACTAGTCCTGTTCTGACATCTACCTCCAACTATGCTGTAGAAACACTCCTAGAAGAATGGGGGAGGCACACAGACAACCATAGAGCCTGTTCCAGCTGTCCCCACTCCTTCCTCAGGGCCATCTACCATCAGCTATCCTGTGGAAAGGATTCCAAGAGACAGAAGAAAGCAGGTGAGGATAATGCCACATGCCCACTCTTATTCCAACTGGACCATTCCGCCTATCTAAAACACCATCTATCAACAGTGTGCAAAGGATCCAAATGACTTCTTATATTGTTTGTATTGTATACTGTGATTAACAAATATTGATGTTACTTGCAAGGAGCCTTCAATGTATATCCCAAAAATTAGCATACAAATAATGGTAACAAATTATAACCCTAAATACAATACTTAACAGATCAAAAGATAGGATATGATATATTACCATAAACCAGTTTGAGGGAAATCAGAGTCCACATATTTCTCTAATTTTGTTATACTGAAGTTGTCTTAAAGCAGCCCCAGAATGATTTCAACAGATATAACGCAGGAAAAACACACTGAGAATTACTGCTTTTCAAAACAGTTCAGCAGCAAAGTGGCTAGTAACAGCAGTTACATAAACTGTAGTGAAAACCCAGTCCCATTGGAACTTCTATCTAAATTTTGAAGAAATTACAGATAGCTCCAAAAAGAAAATCTACTGCATTCTTGAGAGAATCCATTCACTTCAACGTTACTTCTACAGAATATGTATCTGGCTGTTAAATGTCAAGTTCCTGTCCCGCATTAGATAAAACTTAACAATTAAGTGAAATAACTTACTGAATGTGGATAGAAATATATTTGTGTTTTTGTTGGTTTGAGGGAATGAGATGGATTATGCTGCTTTAGAAAGCCCCCCACAATATCTTTCTTATAATGGAAATATTTTTTAAAAATCACTTTCTCATTTTCATATATTCTGTATATTTTGTGGCCACAAATACTTTTGTATTTTGAATCTACTTTTGTATTTTGAATCTTATAACTTTTTCCAAAACCAGTTTTCCTATTAAAATAACACTGTCAACTACTTTAGCAGAAACAAATGCACATTTCAAAGGCTACACACATCCAAAAATTCTAAGATTTTCAAAAACTGAAAGTTGTTATTCTGTTTGGAATTCTTTCTTTTTCTGTGTGTATGAATGTGAAATTCTGTACTGATAGAACTACTGCAGCATGGCCATGATAAATTAAGTAGATGACAGTGAGAAGTAGATGACAGTAGAGAAGTTTCCAGAATAGCTCGATGCTATAATGGACTTTTTCTCAGGAAAACATTATAAGAACTGCTTATTCTGAAATTTCAGTTTTCTGAATTACCAAAAAAACCTTGGTCTAATTTTTCAGTGTCATGCATGGGAATCTACATTATCCTTGCACATTTTTTCTAGACCCTGCTATATATAAACGTTTGAGTTTTGTGCATTCATGATATCTATCTGGAAATGGAAAATACAATGTCAAAACTTAAAATATTGCACATAAATATCCTAAATCAAGGATAGAAAGAATGTGCTTAATAAGGTATAGCCTCCTTAAAAAAAAGTGAATGAACTGAAGCAGCAACAGTTTTAGTATGCAATTACTTGACTTGTTTCATTAATAGTATTTTATTACAAAGAACAAATAAGACTCATCAAATGTTTACATACTGAAAGTTGTCCAGATAAGAACTGTGGAACATCCCTCAACATTCCAGGGCTCATGGGAGAAGTGACTGAAATAGAAGGCCGGTCCATTTTCTGAGATTCAAATGAGCTAGAACCTGAAAGTACAATTTTGTTAAAATATACAAATTATAAATTTCATAATCTCATTAGGTAAACATTATGATAGAAATCATCTGAACCTATTTAAACTAGTGTTTCATAAAAGCACTTAATTTTGGCTGGATTGTGAGAACTATTTTTTAAAATATCAACTATAGGAAATAAATACAATCTTTGTTTTTGTTCATTCTAAGGCTGAAAACTAGCACCTAGAAACATGTGGTTTAGACTTGATTTTCAGTGGTATTAACAGCTCAAGAACAACCTAAGAAATGTCACTGGAATTCATTTGTACTAATATGCTTCTTGAGCCCTGAAGTTCAATTCTTTTATTACATTTGTTAAAAAGATTTCAGTAGAACTTGTCTTTTGATATTTTGGTATGGCAAGATCAAGGATTCTTAAAGTAATTGTTTACTTATTCAATTGCTTTTAGAGTAAGTGCAGGCCAATAACGTTTTACAACAGGAAACTAGATAGGTTCTTTCTCCAGTGGGATCATTTTCCTATTGTATCTGGAAAAACACTATTAACTGGTGACTAATGCCAGGAATAATTGTTTTTGGTTTGCATAATCCATCACCCATAAAAGCACTTTGAAGTTGAAAGAGGTATGCAAAACCAAAGCTGGAAAGAAAGCAACATCCCAGTCTATATACAGTTATGCAGATGAATTTGTCCTGCTGTTATGTTCTGAGCTGTTGCTCTGATCAGCTGGTATGTCCTGTTCTTGACAAATGCAGCAGAATATTCTGATGATATGATTTACTTTATTTCATATAGGAAAAATCTGGTTTGGGCCAAAATCCTAAACACTTGGGCTGAAATCCTATATACACCTATGTGTGTGTAAGCCCCATTTAATATGGTAGGGCTAATATCTAAGTAGTTATGCTAAACATTGCATTCCCTGGTGCATTGATATCTCTAAAATATAAACATACTTATTTTTCAATGCCTAACATCATGAAATGTATTTATTTGATAAAACTGCAGTATGCAACATTAACAAAAACCAGGAAATTAAAAAATGCGATTAACATCAATCCAATTTTGTCCACTCTACCTCCTTTTTAATAAAAGTAGCAGGAATTTTTTTTTAAAAAAAATCAAGCCTAACACTATATTTTCTGGTAGTTTATTATTAAACAAGGATTGTAAAGATTACTAGAAGACACAGAAAAGAGATACATATACAGAAACAAAGAGTTAAGGTTAGGAAAAAAAACATAATCTGCTTTTCAATTTCCAGCTTATGGTTGGATATCTGCTATTACATCTATCTGATCCCCAGAAATGGAACTTACTGGACTCCAACTGTGTATGTGTACTGTCAGGTATTCTGGGAATATCCCTGCAATTATGAAGAGCAAATCACACTTAGTTTATAATATACACAGTTAGCGCATAACAATTGTGCAATTGGGCTACAACATCCAGCACTGTACAAGAAAACCTTCCTCTCCTCTTTCCCGTAACATCTGTGCATGCACATATCTGGGTGTTCCCCAACCTTCCTTAACAGACTGAGGAAGGCAGATAAAGATATCCATTCAGCACTGGTGCCCATTCTGCTGGTAGACAGACATTGTTTATTATAACACTATTTCCATACAGTTATATGAACTCGGCTAAAAGACAGAGACACGATAGTTTATTTTAAGGTCCAACCAACTGTTTTAAGGATGGTGTTATTATCTACAAACAGACTATCTCAAGAGCATGTATACCTGTTGAAGTACACTGTAATAGCATGAAAGCCTATCACATTCCCCCAATATCTCAATATCTCCCAATGTTGATATCCAAGTAGAAGCAGATTAAAAGCACGATCCCATGCAGTTTTGGTATTTGATAATATCTTAATCAGATTGGATGCAGGTAACTTTACAGAAATATAAACTGAAATAAGTTTGCTTAAACCCAACTGATTTTAATGGGATTTAAGTATGCTTAGCTTTCTTTTGCTTGTCCCTCAAAGAAGTATGTCTATAAGTCTTACTCTTAACTATACTTCAAAGTATGCATTTGCAGTTAACTATTACATTTAAATAGACAAGTTAAGACATAATAACAGACTATGGAGTACAAAAGTAACCCTGTGCAAGTTTCTGGTTCCCCACCACAAGTGAACAGTTAGGATGACAACTGTCCATCACGTTTTAGATGTTATGGAGAAGTGTGGTCACTTGGAAGTAGTAGCTTTTGATTTCCTTCTCTCATGTGTGAAGTGAGAGGGGCCTCAAGAGCCCAAGGCAACACACATGTTCAAGCCTGTTTCCAAAAAAATAAGTATGGCTTGTAATTTTGTTTGCATGGAGCCAGGGCTTTTTTTGTCTTAGAACGCACCAGAACAGCGTTCCGGCACTTTTTTCCCCAATGGATTTTATGAAGTGATTTTGAACCACGTAGCAGATCAGCAGCAAATATTATTAACATAGCACCTGCGGGCTGTTTTTGTGTCTGCTATCTGATAGAGAGATAGTGAGGGTGCTGCTCGGCTTGGGATGCTGCTCTGCTGCTCGGCTTGGGATTGGTGCATGTGGTCGCGCCCTGAGTGCTTACTGCCGGTGGTGACATGAGTTCCGGCACCTTTTTTTTTTTTTTTTTTCACAAAAAAAGCACTGCATGGAGCTATGTGTTGAAATGTTCATGAACAAGGATCTGCACAGGACTGATGTAAAAAATCAATCTGTAGTGCTAAAAACTGATCTGTATCTATCCTATAATTGTGAACAAAAATATAGAATAAGACAGAGAATTGTTTATTTTATCCCTCACTTCATCCAATGGTACAAACGTGTTTTGTAAGAACACTGAGAATTTGTAGTGTGACAACTCAGATACTATTAATTTACTAAAATTTGTCTAGCCCAACTTTCTACTATAAAGATATTCAAGGTGACTTTCAATATACACTAAAGAGTAAAACAATAAAACAGCCTAACATTAATAATACAAAGCTAAATAGCAGTACAGAATAAACGTCAACCCACATGGAGACGGAAAGCTATTTTTAGTTAAAAGCCTGGATAACTAGGACAGACTGGCATAGCACCTGACTAGCAACAATAATGCAGTTTTGTATTTAATTATTCATCTGTTGGTCATAGGCAACCAGGAATTTTACTCAGAAATAAACCAGAAACCATTGCAAATCTTTCAATATTGGTACGATATGATCAGTATGATAAATTCTAGCCTGAAGCTGACAACCCTGTCTGAATCTTACAAATATTTTAAGAGCACCATCACATAGAATAGATTTTAATAAGCACTGCATCAATGCAAGAGAACGGAAGCAAGTGGAGGGTTAAAAAAGTTAACTGATTGTGGAACAAACATCCATTAAAATCTGCCCACTTCTGTGAGATCTCATATAATCAATTTGAAGTTGTTGTTTAAAAAAAAGCAAAATAAAATAAAGTCTGTGCATGTTTTAAACAATTAAACAATGTAGCCCTAATACAACTCACCCAATTGGTCTTGAAACTACAAGTTCCACCTGTGGCTCTGGTTTGGATTCTAGGATGATATTGTATACTTCTTCAAAGGTAGCTCCTTGCAAAAGTCTTCCATTCCATTCTAACACTTCATCACCTGAAACAGTAGTTATACAAGTCTGCTAGGGAAGGAATATGTATCCTATGAACCATGATTTGTGTGTGGACAATTTAATTGTTTGGCTTTTCTTTTTGTTTAATCTGGAAATGCTTGCCTTTGCCTTTTCACCTTTTGTTTTCATGCCAGCCTCACAAGACACACATGTTAGAGAGAGATACCAGCCTCATAAGCAAGCCATGAAGAGGCAAGCAATGAAGAGAGGGGTCGGAGCAGCACATGAGATGGGTGATCAGCTAGCTGGTGCATAAGGTGGGCAATGTGTGAATACAGTCTGTAAGAAAGGCTCTTTGGTTGCAGTAGAACTTACTTACATACATATTCTTAGAATCAAAGAATCAAAGTTAGAATCAATGTTAATAATATCTATTCCACCATGAATGAATTTTCTGAAGAAGGTATATCAGACAAAGTAAAGAAGGGGAGAAATACAAGAGTGATACTTTTCTTTGTACAGTTTCCTTTCCAAGCCTGCTTCAGAAAAACTGATTTCTTCTTAGCTGAGTTTTATTTTAGATAGAATTTGAATGCCTATATATGTTGATATTTATATCAATATATATCATGGAGCTCATACTGTAAGTGTGGGTAAGTGTAAATAAAATGTGCTGGATATGGGTCTGCCTTCAGAGCAGACCTAGATTTGTAAATAATACATAAGAAATGCATGTTGGTTTCCCACTGGCAGTGAACGGAGAGAGACAAACTGGGCTAGATTGAAGAGGTGAGTTAAAGAGGATGGGATCTAATTTGATCAACTTCAATTTAGTTTGCCTTGTTCTGATTAAGTTGTTAAATTGTCAGTGGTATATTGTATAATTTAACAAGGGGTTAAAAGAAATAATGAAAAGAAATGGGTTCCTTTTTCATCACTACAGCAATAGTAAATCTACATTAATTGTTTAAAGACACAGATAATGATTTAACCCGGTGTTCAGCTTACTGGCTTAACAGCTATTGCTACTTCTCTTGTGAGTAGCATGCTGACTTGTATAATTCTGCTGTTGTAATGCTGTCAAATCGTCTCCAACTCCCTGTGAATGAAAGCCCTTCGAAAAGCCCTATTCATGACATCCTAAGGCTCTGGCTTCCCTTCTCAATCCATCTCCTATTTGGTCTTTCTTTTCTTCTTCTTCCATCAAATTTCCCTAGCATAACTGTCTTCTCCGGTGACATGATGTGTCCAAGGTATGGCAGCCTCAGTTTTGTCATTTTTACTTCTAGGGAAAGTTCTAGATTTATTTGATCAAGGAACCTTTTGTTTGTGTTTCTGTATTTGCAAACCTCCCCTCCAACATTAAGTTTTGAATGCATCAATTGTCTTCCTGTCAGTTTTCTTCACTCTCCAACTTTCACATCCATACATAATGATCAGGAATACAATGGTGTAAATGATCTTGGCCTTGTTTTCCAGTGAAGCATTCTTGCATTTGATTAACTTTTCCAGTTCCCTCACTGCTGCCCTTCCAAGTCTCAGTCTTCTCTGAATTTCTTCACTGTGGTCTACACTGCCCAGAGAGCCCTAAACTGGGCTATAGACTGCAGTATAAAAAAGCAAAAATAAATACATCCATTTGAGCTGATAACCAAACTAAGGTATGCACAATCTTTCACATTTTCAATTTCTTCATTTTTGCCAGTAAAATTCTTTTGTTTTTTGTTTTCTTAATATTCAGCTTCAGTCCTGCTTCCACACTTTCTTCTCACACTTTCATCAGGAGTTGTTTTTATTTGCTGCTGTTCTCTGCCAGTAATAGAGTGTCATCAGCTGATGTCTCTTCCACCAATTTTCACTCCTTCCCCTGATTCTAATCCAGCTTTCCTTATATTTCCTGAATGCAGACTGAACAGATAGTTCAATCTTGTTGCTTTAAGAAGACAACAGGAAGACAATTTTCTTACTTTATCTGTCCTTTAATTCCTTATTCAAGTCACTAGCATGTGTTGGCAGTAGCTTGATTGAAAAATATGAGGGATGGGGAGAGAGTTCCTTCCCCACTTTTCTTGCCTTCAATACATAATCCAAGTTGTACCATATAACTGACGGATCGCCTGTCCCCATTTGTTCCTACCCTGCTATTAAGATCAGGTATAGAGGTCCTTATCAAGGAACTCCATACCAAAGAAGTAAAGGGGGTGGTAAACAAAAGCACGGCCCTTTCAGTAGTGGCATTCTATATTTGGAATATGCTTTCATGCTGCTATCTTTATTATCTTTTTGGCTTTTTATTTATCATCTATTTTAAGAACAAAAAGATGGATAATTTTATATATTTTTATCTTAATACTGTTATTGTTGCTGCTGTACTGAGCAGGTTAACTTTTGTAATTGTTGGAGTTTATTTCCCGTTTAGTATATTTTAGTGCTTGTTTTTATTTTGGATATTTTATTGTATATTATTATTTTATTACATTGCATTTTTATATGGCCTTCAGCCAAAGCTCTCTGAGCAGTTCACAACCTAAGTCACACATCCAGATTTCAACCAGTTCTGACCATGCTTAGCTTCCAAAATAAGGCAGAATCAGGCAGTTCAACCTAACATGTTTGCTTGATAACCACCCACAGGGTATTATGGGCTGGGGAGTGCGATATAAATATAATAAATAAATATCACTTCAGAAAACAGGCACTTCATTGCCTATTTTATATGCAGTACTTCTATCAGATATAACTGGTATAAATTTGCATAAAATGCATGTAAGATATGCTACAGAGACCGAAAAAATTCTATTTGGGATAATCTCAATTTCTGCAAGAGTATGTACAGTTTGTTTTTAGCTGGCAGTGCTCTCAGCAGGACAACGGCAATCAATGCACTGAATTCACACAGTGCAATAAGCTAAACATCAAAATGGAGGATTTCCACTTATTGAATGTAACTTAATGTTCCTCTCATACCTGGCCTAAGGTGTCCCACTGTATCAGCTAAACTTCCTTTTTTTACTTTGGTGATAAATGCACACAGCCGACCCGATTCAGTCATTTTTCCTCCAACAACCTATTAGCAAAAAAAAAAAAAGGAAGGGAAAATCACAGCAATATACATATAGTTACAAACTACTAGGAAAGGTTCATTCATATCGGTGATAAACAGCTGCCCAAATGCAGAACAAATATACTATGAATTCATGACATGTTAAGTACCAAAACCTGACCAATCATTCCCTTGAGTGAATTTTCCAGAGTAAACACTTTAACTTTTGTAACCAAAATATGTTAGTTCTATAAATTGTCCCAATTAATTAAACTGTTTCATGTGCAGGAATTTATAGCATAATTTATGCAAATTTCAAATGCACACCTTTGTATGTGCAGACTGTCCCTCTGCTGAATTTACAATTTGCATACAGCATATCTGTTTGCGTATCTGAGCATTCATACATGTCTGGGTAGCAATACATACATAGGGGAAAGAACCAGAGTGATGATTATATGCATTCACACAAAACTTAGAGGCATGAGAATTTAGAAGTATACACTGAAGTAGATAACTATTTTAAAATATGTATTATCTTATTAAAGGGAAAATTTCAAAATGCTAAAGAATTCTCTCCCATTAAACCACTTCAGCAGTGCTAAACAACTTACATATTTCTATGTATTGTGGGCTGCTAAAAATAAAAGCACCCAACAATATATGAACCAACTAACTCTCCCTCCCTCTCTCCGTCCCTCCCTCCCTCCCTCCGTGTGGGGGGTGTGTGTGTTGAACAGTGCTGGTGAAATACATTAAAAGTGCTGGCAGTGGAAATTATTTTAGTATTTTGACAAACTGAACAATTGTGCTAAATCATACATATATGAACTAATACAGACAAGTACCTAATAATCAAGTATCCTTACATACAATAATAATACATTCATCTTATATAACAATTCAAACAAAACCACATTACATGCAATTGCTTGTAATAATACTCTCATGAGCTTTGTTTTTCAAAGGAAAACAGATGGGGGAGGAGTTAAGGTGCACAAGTTAAGGGTATACAGGCACAGACGTTCCTTTTCTGCACCAAACTGGCCCTGAAAAGACAGTCCTTTAAAAAAACAACAACTGGTGGTCTGCTGCAACTATTTGTGTGTAATGTATACTTATGCACTAAATGTAACCAGCAAGCAAACAGAAGATATACTCAAACTTTAATCTGCAATAACTTTTCTCTGTCAATGGAACTTTGATCAGTTAAAGTTCCAACCAACAATGTGAGAGCAGGTTAACATAATTATCATAAATTGTTATAATCTAGAAGTGCACAATATTGCTTATTATTTAGCTGGCAAAACATCAGTGTTAATAGTACTTTATAGCACAAATTAGAAATTCTAGGTAATTCATTGATAAAATAGTGTTCTGGATTAATCAAATGCATTGATGATGTTATAATGAAGAATAGGTTATTTAAATATGGTGTCCAGTTTTTAAAACTGCTAATCCTTGATGGATAATAATGGATGGATGGATAAATGATTTTTTTTCACCCTTTTGCATATGCTAGTCTTGATTCTATGTACAGTCACACAAGAATCTGTGCAGTTTTCTTTTACTATTTTAGGCAATCTTGGTATATTCTACCAGATGCATTTCTGCAACTCATCCTCATTTAATTGATGTTGGCTGAGCTCAAGGTTTTTTACTTAGTAATACATAATTAAGAGCCATTTTCCTTTTAATAAATTAATGTAAAGCACAAAAATGATAAGTTAAAAAGTACCTTTAGATGATAGTTTGTAAGTCGTACCCAGAGTTTTAAAAAACAGTAATGCTGGGAATATATTAAAGGATAATGACTGCATATGTAATAAACATTTCTTGTTTGAACTGCACTTTAAACTACTAGGCAAAGCATGACTACTAACCTTCAGTCCAAGCATTGCTCCAGAATCTCTAGGAACACTTCCATCTTTTAGTCTCTTGTTTAACAAAATCCGACCAATTAAACGATCCCCATCTTTGGATGGCTGCCAGGTTACAGGATGCTACAGGTTACAGTTAAAGGGGGGAAATCAGTAACATTAAGAAAAAAAAACTCATTACTGATTGTATTTCCTGCTGCCAGTTCCAATCATTGTGAAATAGCTATGATTACACTACTATTGGCTATATATGTAGAAATTAAGATTGCTGTCAATCTTTTAGTTCACCCAGTCACTTCTGACATCTCCTTAAATGATTTAATTCCAAATATATCTACATCACAGCTAAATGCACCAAACCAATTAATCAATTTATGGATTACATTATTATGTATACACAATAAAAATCCTACTGAATAGAGACAAAAGGAATGCTAAATCTGAGGCAATCATTATCACATTAAATAAAAAGAGGTTGAATTAAAACTAAATATAGCTGAGACATTCTCAGGTAATCCAAAAATATAGTATTAAATTTTTTCATAACAGCATGAATATATTCTTACTTGGAAATAAATCGCATCAATTTTGCTTCCAACTATAGGTGCCAAAGTTCACGATCAAATACCATTTTAAGTTTTGATAATATGTAATCAATCCATATGTCCATGCAGTTATATTGGAACAGTCAATATTTGTTTCCCATACCCTTACTACCAAAATGATATATACATACTTCTCTATATAATATATCGAATATATTATAACAAAATGTATCAAATCACTTTTGATTTTGTGTAATCATAGCCCTTTTTCACATCTGTGCACCAGTTTCATGCCCTCACACATGCAAAAATTAGCATGCACATTTCTTCCTCATTATGTCTTAACAACACTGGAAAGTTATGTCACAAGGCTCAAACAGGAAGCAAAAACAACATAAAACACAAAGCAGATGGCAAAGACAAATACAACACCATAATGCAAAAAAATGGCATAAAACACAAAGCAGATGGCAAAGACAAATACAACACCACAAATCACAAAAATGACATGGCAACAAAACAAATGAACAAATATTGCAATGGAAGGGAAAAAAGAAAAACAACTTTTCTGTGCAAACAGATGCAATTTTCTTTCTCTCCCCACACTTTGTTTCCAACCTGGGAATTAAACTTTTGGTTAATTTCAACCCCAGGGCATTATAGCAGTAATCAGACATGCCAATCCAGAAGATATTTTATTGTTTAATCACTTTATGGTTTAAGGTGACATCACCCAACTACTGTAAGACCATAAAAGTGATGTGTCCTTTTAGTGCCTGAATAATGTTTTGTACTTATGTTTCCAGGCATAAAAACAGCAGACCGATCCAGTGGGTGTGGTTTTGTTTTTCTTTTCTGCACCTTGAGAAATGTTAGATTAGACCTGCCTTTTTATTACTTATTTGTTTTAATGAGTGACAGAGAGCAAACAAAGACCAAATGAGCAGATTAAAATGCAGGCACAACAAAGCCAGTACCTTTTCACTCTGGCTATGCTCCTCATTTAGAGTTGTGCTACTACACGTGTCTACCCCAGAGTCTTTAATCTGAGGCTCAGACCATTCCAAATCCTCTTCGAAAGAGTGGCCACCAAAACACACCATTTTCTTTTGTCTTTCAGACAAGGTGTTAGAGTCCGACAAAACTGCCTGCTCACTAGTTTTTCTTTTTCCCCTTTGACTGTCCCCTACAGATGTGGGATAAAAAGGATACAAAAAGAAAACATGCAAAGATGTAAATAAAACAAAGGAAATGTGGAATGGCAAAGGAAACTTGAATGGTAAGGCTCCGCATGTCTCACCAAAGACATTGGGGATGCCTCACTGCTATGCCAAGACGTATGGTCCCAGTTGTAATCCATGTCTCCTGTGAGAATCAGACAGACAAGATAGTGCAGTAAAGGAAAGGTGAAAGAAAGGACAGACAAAGATATAATAGTTTTGCATTTTTAAAATCATGCTGCCTGCATATGTTTTGGTTCACTAAAAACGTTTCTAGAAAAAGCAGAAATTCCAAAAGGATGAAAGACAGTGAGCGTGTGTATTCTATATACGTAGTGGATCAGGTATTTATGGAATTAAGGTACAAACCTATGCGCTTTTAGACTGATATCTGCATTAATTCTACCTGGGAAATGCTGGGAGTTGGATATTTTTCAGACTAAACATGCATATGATTGCACCCTTGATGTTATCAACATCACTTTACATTACGAACATCACAAAAATATTTTAGAAACATTATGAGTTTAAGAAAAATCTGGGTCTGAGATCCTAAAACACTGAAAGTGTTTAGTTTCTTTCAACAATGCCTATGTTTAAGTGAATATTAGGGATTGTGATGCTCAACGTATTCTTAAATCCAGAAACTGGAAATAAGTTCCACTGAAATAACTGGAATGCAATCAGCAGATTGAAGATTTAGAATGTCCCCTTCAAAGTTCATACTACAATCAGGTGCCCGTATAATTGTTGAAGCTAGCTAAAGATGAATTCAATAACTATCCTGGAATGTATACAACCTGTTTAATACAGATCTAGAAAATGTTTAAATAAAACAATTATCTTATGCACTATAATACTAAACTTAATAACTACAATTAGGAGTTTAGAAATCTGCATAAATGATATTGGTTATGAAATCTAATATTGGGTGGCTTCAAAGAAATCTAAGTATACCAGCAATTAAACATTAGAATAAATAACAGTCTTAGAGTCCTTTTGGCTGCCAAAACAAAAAGACAGTTATTTTTATTTGAATGTATTTCTTTACAAATAATAGCGGTGCCAAAAGACAATGAAATGGGTGGGACACTGGGTGGAACACTCTGCTTTGTCATTCCACCCAATATGCAATGTTCACATAAGCCAAATTCCTTGTGACAGTCAATTAGACAGAAACACTGAATTTAAATATCAAGTAGAATCACACCATTATGTGGGTGTGAGTGTGTGCACACAAATGCATGCATACATATCTATATGTGTTCTATATTGTAAGTACTATTCCAAAAAATACATTTAGTTTAATTGCAGTGAAAATTTGGAAACATTTTAGTGCAGACATCTAGACCCCTTAGCTAAATTATTCAACGCTATATCCCACTATACTGTCATATTTTTCAAAATGTTAACATACCTGTTGAAAAATGATAGACTGTTAAGAAAGGGTACAAAATAGTCCTTGAGTTAAACTTAATCAAACAAAAGATCAGTTTTTACATTCTAAGAATTGTAAAACTGTTCTTTATCAAAAAAAAAAAATCTTTAGGAACTAACCATAATCACTGTCATCAACATATTCTTAAGAATGATTAGAAAATCTGCTAACATTTCACATCTTATTCCCTTCTTTCCTTTCCTTTTGTATGTATGAAGTATGTACAGTCTAAAAAAGGAGTGGACATATACCAAAGTAGCAAGTATATATGGAAGTAGCAAGGACAAGATAAAATGTAAAGAAATTAAATAATTTTCTCAGAGGTTTAGCACAGCAAGAGCAGCAGTTGTTCTTGTATATCTGCAATTATCATTAGGACTGCAGCCCTCTATTTATAGGATTTAACTGCTCGGGAACACAAGTGAAATCTGGAACAAAGATCTATAGCTCTGTATGTTTCACTTTTGAATTTCAAACTTCTTTTTAAAAAACACAATTTCATTCTGCTCCATTTCTGTACCATGATCCATCTCATAACTGTCCAGAGGGCTTCAGCTATGGGGCAGTAGAAATGAAGATAACAATTAAGATGATGGTGTTTTCCTCCTCTTCTTCTGCTTATGACTTTTTCTAGCTTTATTGTCTTCCCTAGGAAGTCTTGCCTTATCATGATGTGCCTGAGGTATGATAGCTTCAGCTTCATCAGTTTTGCTTCCAGGGGAAATTCCGGTTTGATTGATCTAGGACCACCTTATTTGTCTTTCTATTGGTCCAAGCTGTTTGTAAAGCTCTCCTCGAGCACTAAATTTCAAATGCATTACTTCTCCTCCTGTCAGCTTTTTTCAGTGTACAGTTTTCACATCCATATATAATAAAGGTAGTGTCTGGGGGGGGGGGGGATCCTGCTCTAAACATTGGAGAGCCATTGCCAGTCAGTGGACAATACTGGTTGACCAATGCTCAGAATCAATGTTCCCATGTGAAACTTGAACCTAATATAATGTTCTTCTGCATTAATATTGTCAAACCCCAACATGACTATATCATCTGCATATAAAAGAATACCGACTTTTCTGTTCTCTGTTGCAGGTGAATATGCACCCTGTTCCCCAAACATGTGAATTCATTAATACAACAAATAAAAATATAGGATGTCAGAATATACCCCTACTGAACTCTCTTTTAGTTGAAGAACTGGGTCAACAAAAGCTGCTACAGAATAGTATTAAGGCAGACCCACTCATAAGTTATTAAGTAGGTTATATTTTGAAAAACTATCCAACAGACTAATAAATCTATAATTCCGAGGAAGAAGGGCACTACTTTAAAAAAATGATACAATCTGCACAATTTCCATTTCTTGTACTGAATCAGAGTATTGTGCTTACATAAAAGTGCTTGCAAGTCCAGGAACATTATTATCTAGAATCGATGTTCATCTGTAACTTAATATGCTATCCATTCACTGGGACTGAAGCTGTAGATGTTTATTGATCAAATCATGTCTCCCATACTCCCCCTTCCTTTAATCATGCTTAGCATTTTTGTTTTTTTTTTTCCTGGCAACCAAAACTAGAGAACAAATCCGTTTCCACTGTTGATTATGAAATAAACAATGATATCACTTAGAAAATCAATATGAACTGTAAATGTACTAAGACAGATCCAACTTTCAGAATAATCTTAAATATAAAATACTTTATACAGTATATAGTTTTAAATAACTACATCTATTTGCACTAAGAGTTTTAAAGCAAGAATTATTTAATTTTTAAGGTGAAGGACAAATTATATGTTACATTATTTTGCTTCTTTATTATGAGAAACTGCCTCAGTTACTAGACTGAAAAAGGCCAGATGCTATACACCTACTAATCCTTTCTCTTCAAAAATATCCTTCTAAATGTTTTCATTCATGGTCAATGACATAGTGCTGCTCGGTATCTTTTCCTCAAAAGTGGAAAATCAAACAAATTTGACCTGGAAAGTATCAGGAGGAGAAAAGGTTAAGCAGCTTTGCTTTGGGTGGTTTTTTCCCCACACTTAGACTAGCAGCCTGCTTATCGGCTGATTTTGGTTCAAAAGTATATGGGGCAAATTAATATGGAATTCCAGATCTATTTTGGCTTTTAGTGGTAATTATTACAAAGCCTACCATTTATATTCTAATTTTCCTGCTTTAGACTTGGAAATTCAGTAAGTGACATGAAAAAAATCTACCATGCAGACTGGAAGATAATACAGTTACAAGGACATGCATAGGGTCAATATGGGAGTAGTTCAATGCAGGAAATCACAATACTTCTTATTTCCCCACATTTTTACGTTACCCTCCTTTGCAAACAACATTAGCACTTGCGTACATGTGCACAGTATGTATAAATGCATGGTGACATAATGCATGTGTCAGAAAACAGATCTTGAGGAACACATATGAAAGTGGTAAGAAGACACCATGAAAATTTCTTCCCCATATGCACTTCACCAGCTGCTTTTTTCTGGGTGGGAAAAGCAGCCAGGCAGAAAACTGAAAACATGAAACTGCTCCCTTACATATCCTTTTAAAAATATCTGTGTAACATCAACCTGTGTTCTAAAAAAGTATCTGTCACTATTACAGTTAGGCCCTAGATAAACTAAAACTGACCCTGTTCCTTTTCTTTTTCTTTGCTCTGAGTCTTCGCTTCCTCAATGGGGAGACAATAGTGAAAGAGAAAACTGTGATGTCCTGTACCAGATAAGTCTCTATCATTTCAGGGAATATTAATTTAGAAACATTGGAAGAGATGACAAAGGAGCAGTTCAATTCATTCCTAATAGTACAAGAGATAGACAATGTAGAAAGGATATTGGTTATTTTTATTTATTTATTTATTATTTGTGTATTTATAAACTGCCTATAACTGCTGAGGCCTTCCTAGGTGGCTTACACATGCAGCTATAAGGCTAGTATGCCTACTGACATTCAGTGCCTGCAAGAACTTTTACTATTCGTTTTATTACATTGCATTTATCTCTTCTTTTTTCCTTTTGTAAAGAACCAAGGGCAACTTACATAGCTGCATTTTATCCTCACAACAGCAACCCCATGAAATAGGTTTGGGAGTCTGTGACTTGCCTAAAGCAACTCAGTGAAGTTACAGCCATTGCAACAATTAATACAACAGCAGGTCAAGTGTATTTTGCAATGACTTTTTAAACACCCTGTATAAGGCATTCTTTTGGAATGCCTTGTACAACTACTAATCCAAAAGCTAAAGGATATAGAACAGCTTGTACGATCGCTTGCAGAAACTGAATGTGCAATTGTCTGGGCAAGTAGTATTTAAAAAAAAGAAGGTATGACACTTGTGCAATGATGTAAACAAGGATTTGCTAGGTAGTAGAGGTTTTGAGCTAACAGAATTATACCACTGGACACAATCCAATGGTTTGAAAAAAAAAATCATGGAGGGATAATATGCTTCTTCAACAAAAGCACTTATGAAATTCCTTAAGACATTCTTATCATCCTGCTTGCCCTTTTCT